CAGAAACCCAAGAGGAAAGCAAATTTTGGGAATGATGAGGGCAACAAATGTATAGGTGTGCTTTACACAATTGATCTATGTATTGTAATGAATTGTATGAGCCCCAATAAAATGATTAAATAAAAAAAAAAGTTTTAAGTCACAAATGTAACAGTGCATAAATGCAAACCCTTTTGATTTAACTCTAATTTCAGCCAAAGTTCTGAGCTTCTGTAAATTGAATTCTCCTTTTGCCTGCAAACACTTAAAATCTGGAATGGCAAAAGAGTAAGTAAAATTTAATTAGCCCCTTTCATGTTTGATTATGAGAACTTGATGCATTTAATAACTCTCTAAGTATGCAGCTATCAACCCCTCTGAACCATTCATGACTAGAACTGATTTTCCTTCATGAACCTGACTTTGTGCAAGTAAGCAAACGGAAGAGGTGAGCAGCAGTCTGCTGGATTGCACAAACGAAGTGAAAAGTCGTCATTTCAAATTTAGTCAGCAGTAGAATCTCATCTATCTTTCATGTCGAGATTTACAGCATTGAAACATTAAAGCAGGGAAGTCTTCAATTACACATGAGGAAATAATTTCCAGAAGATGATGTCTCTTTCCTGGAAACAACCAGTGGAGTGGCGGAGCTTGGGCCAGAACTAAGAGCCAAACTCTTCTCAACTGGAACACAATCCGCGTAGGTAGGTAAGAGTGCATTTTCCACAAGGTACCGCCGACTGACCGGGCCCCTCCTCCACACAGTTCAGGAAAGGCACGAACACAGGGTGGTCTCAGGCAGGCCAACTTTTCTCTTCACCCCAACCTAACCGCTCTCCTAACTCAACACCTATGGTTTTCAAATTAAGGAATAGTTGTCCTAGAAACCACTTGCTGTAAAAAATTGTTAAACAGCTATCATTGTTTACATTCTACTTTTGGGTCTACATTATACTTAGTACACCGATAGGGTGGGTGTGTTCTGTATGTGTGTGTAGTGGGGGGAGGAGGATTATAAACATATAGGTAATATTTTTGGTTGTCATTTTGTCTTTTGTTGATATGGAAGATGAGGAGAAAGGAGGACGTAGGGAGATACAGTCACTAGTAAAAATAAAAACAAAAATAGCCAGTTTCACATGTCTAAACCACTTATGGAATACTCTCCCAGAGCGACTTTACCTTGTCATGGACGGTCATGCAGCTGGCTGCATCCTTCTGAAGAATCTCAGTGACACCATTGGAGAGCCTTTCATACTTCAGTTTGGGTTCCTCTTCGCTTTCTTCTTCCTACGCAAAATGCAAAGAAAATGGGAGGCTGTGTGCATTTACATAAAACAGTCAAAGATCCAGATGCACTTCTCAAGGGGGAACCAGAGATGGTTCCTTCACGGATCTTCTTCTTAACTACCAGTTACCACCAATCGGAATCGAATCAACAACCAGCACTACAACAACGTAGTTTTAGTTTTCAAATTGAATGTGCTAACTGCTACAACTTCATGGGTAGAATAAATTCAAAACGTGAAAAGGTTAGTCTACATACTGTTAAAATGAACTTTAGCATGTTAGAGTAAATGTAAAATTGTCTAGCCCATTACCCAAGCATATATGTCACTAGGCATGCTACTAAAAGGTGCAAGGGAAAAATACTCATCATTGTAACTGCATGGACACATTTATACTCACAGCAGTGTCATAGAAAGACTAAAAAAAACGTGTTTCAATATCACAAATAACTTTATATTTCATAAAATCTAAGCAGACTTTCAATTAGAAAAGTATGACTTAGAAACATCAAAGTAAAAGAAAATTTAAAGTTTAACAAAAAGTAAAATATACCAAGCCCTTTCAGGTACAGATTTCTCAACTGATAAAATCATTCTTATTTGATTTTAGAAAATGTACTATTCACTCTCATATAAATGTGCTATTCACTCTCATAAAAATGCTATCC